CTTGGAAGGAATATGGACTTACCAGTATGTATCAGGGGTAGAGGGCAGCAGAAATCTGGTTTTGCCTGCTCACCAGGACACGACCAATTGAGTTCAGCGAAGAAGAGTTTGTTACCAGCAGTCCTTGATTTGGAAGCAGCCACAAAATTGACGTGGTAGCACTCCCTGTCTAAGGACTCGGAACCAGCCACCATACCACAGATAACAGTTAGCACATATTTTGGTTCCTAAAACAAGCAACATCAATGTCAAATGAAGCAGCTGACAGTGAGATGTAATGAATATGTACCAAGTAAACAAGGATGAATAAAAGCAAAGCCACGTACCAGAGGATGCTCAGAGGCATATTTCTGCAGCAGTTGTTCAAGCTTAGAGCAAAGGTACAAGCTCATGCTGTCATAATATGACTTCATTCTTTGCAGAGTCACCTTAGCCTCCTCGCACAATTCGGACACCTTGCGAGGTTCGGGATCCAACGTCACTGCTTTATATCGGAGGAACTGCTCTATTTGGCCAAGAGATTCAGGAGAGATCACACCATTGGTGCCAGTCGTCAACAAACGCCGTAGGTCATACAGCACATTGGGCGTCAGGGACGCAAGGAATGACCCTAGTGCAGCATGTTGTGGGTGTCGAGCGGCTGCGGCTGCGGCAGCACACTGCTGCAAGGTGTGCGTCTCCTGGGAGAGGTCACAGCATTTCAAGGAGAGGTGCTCCATCACCTGCTGCGTCGAGCAGCCAGAATCAAAGTTTCCTCGGACAAGGGTGATGAGGCCTTCCAAGGAACGGACCTCCACGCGAAGCATAGATAGGGCGTCGATGATGTGATACTCTTCGATTTCGGTCAAGGGTAGCGGGTAGAAAATGCTGTGCCAAATGGAGTTGACAATGATGTTGGAGACAGGGTCCATGGGGCCATAGCAGTGGCCAGCGAACAAGATGTCGCGGATGAGCCGCATAGAGCGCGGCAGCATGGTGAACACTTTTAGATAGATGGCGTGGATCGTGCTGTGAAGCCGCATCCTGAGAGACTCGGTGTATTCGCAGGCATCGCCACAGCAACTCTCCACCAGACCGCCCCTTCGATAGGCTTTCTCAGCATCTTCCAAACAAGATGATATCATGGATCTCCTGTCCCGGGGGGACTGGGGGAATAGGGATGCCAAGCGGTCTCCATGTCGCTCAACCTTGTAGGTGACCAGGGAGAAGTTACCTCCATGATTCACAGAGTTTGTGTTGTGGGTTGATAGATGTGCTTCGTCTGGATTGAAGTTGCGATAGTAAACGGTGAGTTCACCACTGTCTGGCAGCAACTTGACCTGGAGATCAAGGGGGGCACCGTCCTGGTGGCGCAGCATACGCACGATGAGCTCAACATCATCGAGGGTGAGCTTGCGCCCTTGCGGCTTGAGGAACGGGGCGGCGGCGTCAAGCCACTGTTGGGGCAGGGGCGACGCCTGGAGCCGCACAAGGACATCAGGCGCAGGGTGCGACACATAGATTGCGGCGCACTTGAGGGCGGCTTGCGTCCTTTGGGAGGCCGGGTTGGGGATCGGAAGCTCGGCATTGTACAGATCGTGCTCGACCAGCAGGACGGCCCGGACGAGATCACCGCGTGCCCAGTGGAGGTAGCGTGTGGCCTGTTCTTCACTAAGGCATCCGAAGTAGCTCACCATGAAGCTGCGGAGAGCGAGGTAGGATGCCCCAGCAACTCTCGCCCAGGTGTCTCTGCGGGAGAGAGTAGTGTGCCGGCTGGGTCGCGCCAGCCTGCTGGACCTCCTCGTGCCGTGCAGAGGCGGATCCGGGAAGTCGCGCCGGAGGAGGGCGATGGTGTTGAGGATGATGTTGGAGGCGGGGTCGAGGAGGCCGAGGGAGAGGGCGGATCTGCCATGGATGTCATCACCTGGTCGGCGGCGTCCGCTGGCAGGTCTTCGATGGGCAGCCGGTCGATCGCCTCCTCGTAATAGTCGGGGATGGTCCCCATGAGATCGAATTTGAGACAGAAGTCAGGGGGCTCGTCGCACTCGCCGCTGTACAAGCACGAGAAGAGCCCCCTTCGATCTCCCGGCGTCGTCAGCTGCGATGTCTGCGCTTCGGCGGCCGGAGAGAGCCGCGGACTCATGCGGCGCGGCCGCCGAGCCGGCGGCGGCACGGCTTCCGGAGACAGCAGCGAAATCTTGCGCCGCGGCGGCATCAGCTCGGTTCGGCGGCGGCGGATCTAGGGTTCGGTGGCGTCTCCTCGGATAACACCAGGAGACGAGTGAGTGCGTTATCTGGTAATATATGGGACATACGGAGTATGAAGCTTGGACAAGCATCGGTTGGTTTATTTTCCTTTTTTTCTTGATTGATGATGAGATGATGGGTGGGGGTGCCTACTGGCTGTTTTTTGTTTCGTTAGGGCAGGTCCGGAATTTATGTATTTATTTATTTTTTACTAGGAAAAGTGCCCGTGCGTTGCAACGGGAGAAGAAAAAATAGCACATGCTCTAACCCAATAAATTAAATTAGTGACGTTTCAATAATTTATATACCACAAAAGGTGTAAAAAGGTGTAATGAAAAGTATAGTTTATAAGTCAGATATGAAACATATTTTTTGAGTTTTCTGTGTGTGTCCTAACCTGTGTACATATATTATATATTAGTACAACATTGCCTAATCCTTATCCAGCTATGAATGTTGTTTGTCTCCTTTTTAGTTTTATTAATAATGTTGTAAAGGCAAGAGCTCCTCCCTCCCGGCGTGTGGGACGAAACAGGTCACCGTTGCCGCACTTTCTCTAAAAGAATTGTAATAGGTGCTAGCACGCATAGCATCAAGCCAAGGTTTTGTGTTTTGTTTTGAAAAATTTACTGTCCTTGAATGAATCGGTGAATTTTGGATTTTTGATTTTTTTTTGGAAAATCTCAGACGAAAAGGACTGAGATTGTACATTTTTTAATTATGAAATTCAAAATTTCAAAATTCGAAATTTGTTTTTTAACGAAAAATGAGCAAAATATGAACTAAAAACGAATTGTACAATTTTTTTTTAATCCTGCAGCAATGGACTAAACCAGAATCTATCTGAACAACACCGATCCTTTGATTGATATACACCCACGAATAGCTCTGAACAATTCAATTTAGCAGACTATCCCAATTTCAATCAGCAGGAATACCACAGTACTTACTACTCATCTTGGTGTGGTTAATACTCTCTCTGTTTTTATTTAGTCTGCATATTAGGTTTGATTGAAGTCAAACTTTGCAAAGTTTGACCAAGTTTATGAAAAATATATAAAAATTTGTCATAACAAATCTATATGATGTGAAAGTACATTCAATAATGAATCTAGTGGTATTGATTTTTTATTGTATATATTAATATTTTTGTTTATAAACTTAGTCAAAACTTACAAATCTTGATTTTGACCAAAGCTAATATGCGGACTAAATAAAACCGGAGAGAGTACTATATCAATCTCAGCAGGAATGCCTAGTACCTGCATCTACACCACATTCTGGTCCCGTTCCAGCCGGCCGGGATGAGCACGTCCGCATCCAGCAGCTTCCGATACATTTTTGATTAAAAAAAGGCACGAGGCACCCAAAATCCCCACTCATCGCCACTGAGTGCCCCTTCCACAGTCCACTATCCACACATCGCCGTTTCTCTCATCCACTCAGGCGCCGCTCCGCCTCCGTCTTCTTCCTGCTACCTCACCACCCAAGCAGCCCGCCCTTCTCTTCTCCATCCACCTAACACCCCCCAAGCGCTGCTCTCCTATCCTCATTCCTCAGCCGCGGTGGCTGCTGGCCAGCCACTTCCTGGCTGGCAGCGCCGGCGTGTTTGCTGCAACGGCTGGGGCGGTGGCGGCCTGCTCGTCGGCGCACGGGGGCCGGGGCGGAGTCCCGTGCCGTGGTGGTGGATCCCCTCCCGGTGGGTGGCTGTGGGCAATGGGGCCGGTGTGCAGTGGCTTGATTGCTCGCCAGATCTGGCGGCCGGCCAGCACGCGCGGGGGCTAGCTGTGGCGCCTGTGGCAGAGGCAGTCTTCTGGTGGTGCTGCTCGTCTGCCGGTGGCCGTGGATGTGGCGGCGCCTATGCAACGTCACCTATGCCCAAATCCAATCCAAACCAGCCCCTTTTCTGTTGTGTTTATGCCCAAATCACTTGACAGGCGACACATGCAGCGCCGGCCTGCCGTGAGCAGCTCCGGTGAGCCACGTCTTCCTTCTTCAAGCAAGGCAAGTCTCCTCGTTCTGGCTCTGCTCGATCAATTATCACTGCACATCAGCGGCTTCGTGCACGCAAATCTCTTTGGCACAAGCGGAGTAACATTTCTTCGTCAGGCACCGTATGTACCATGGCGCTCTCGCCGGTTAGCTCGAGACGGACACCCCATGGTGTGCACGCCCGGACTCTGCTCCGGCCGAGAACCTCTGCAGCCTCCGGGCTGCCTGCCTGGCGGAGACAGCGTCGAGCTGCAACTGCTCGTGCCGGCACTCCTTGCTACAGAAGGGTGTGTCCCCTCTGTACATGAAGACGTCGCTGTCGCGCGCCAGCCGCTTGGCGCAGAGCGCGCACGCGTCCAGCGCCGGCATGCCGGGCTCGCCCACCGGCTTGTGGCGCGGAGGCCGGCGGCGACGACCTCGTTGCTCTTGGCGACGCCAAGCCATGCCTGGCTCCACTGCCGGAGCCTCTCCCCCGGTTCACCGTTGTGGTAGCGCCCGCACTCCAGGCCGAAGCCGCCCTGCCGCAGCGCCTCGGTCCGCCGCGCCCGACGCCTACAACGGCAGCCGCGCTCTACAACCCCGCCGCGATGCCTCGCCCCGTTCCTGGGCTCGGGCAGCGTGGACTCCCGCCACAACGCACCCCCCTGCCTTGGTTTCTGCGGCGTCAATGCCGGCGGCAAGCGGCGGGGCGTGACCGGCGGTAAAGTGGAGGCAAAAGCAATGGATAAATGGTGGAGGAACGAAACGTTATCCCTTTAAGACAGGACTGCGGGTTATTTTCTCATAAACGGGAGGACTTTTTTGCAAAAAGGCCAGCGACGTAGGACCAGAAGCCATCGCTGGTTTATTAGTAGGTAAAGATTAGGAAAAATCTAACTCGCTTTTATTATTCGACAGAAAAGGGATATAGTGAATTCAGAAGCCACATCAAACGACCATATCTAACAACAGTAAAATTGCGAGCTAGATTATGAGCATGTGTATTTGATGCATGTCCATCATGTATGAAACGAACTTCGCTGAAATCTCTTTATCGTTGATGGGTCTCCATGAGGACAGAGAAATAATTGAGGCGGCTACCCTTGTTGATGGTATCAATCACATGCAGGCATTCTGACGAAATAAAGACAGAATCGGAGTTGGAGGTCACCCGCTAGAGAGAGGCTTCTCGGACAAAGATTCAAGAGTGGCAGGGTCAAATACTCCAAAACAAGCAAGCACTGAAGAACCCTGATATATGCCATCATAAATACGAATCTGGATGTAATTTTTATTTATTCGTTGTACTGCCATGATTGACGATGAATATATTGGAAGTTTTTTCCGCAAAAAAAACCGACAGATAGCTGCGACCACTCCTCTATTATCGCTTCTAGAAACAGGTGCATCAACGTTAATCTTCATCATATGTTAGGGAGGGGTATCCATCTTGGAGGGGCCGATGGAGCATGTTGGACCCTTACTGGGTGTTGAGTTCGTTCGTGTACGATCTCCAAATCTCCCAAAAAAACTTCCAGTAAAAGAGTAAACTGATGATGGACTCTGAAATATATTCTCATGAATAGCCTTGCCTCTCACTGCCCAGCTTGCCCATGGAGTTACTACAGTTTTGGTAAACTGACCATGTTAATGATTCAATGAGGAAAAAGATCCATTCTTTTGGGCATTGTGAAAGGATCGAGAAGAGGTGTCTAGAGGGGGGGGGTGATTAGACACTAAGTACCAAAAGTTACAGTTTTTAATATCTTTAGGTTTAAGGGGAGTTTTAGCACAAGTTTAACAAACACAATACATATCAAGCAAGCATGCGAGAGTATATGAACAGCGGAAAGTAAAGCATGCAACTTGCAAGAATGTAAGGGGAAGGGTTTGGAGTATTCAAACGCAATTGGAGACACGGATGTTTTTGTCGTGGTTCCGATAGGTGATGCTATCGTACATCCACGTTGATGGAGACTTCAACCCACGAAGGGTAACGGTTGCGCGAGTCCACGGAGGGCTCCACCCACGAAGGGTCCACGAAGAAGCAACATTGTCTATCCCACCATGGCCGTCGCCCATGAAGGACTTGCCTCACTAGCGGTAGATCTTCATGAAGTAGGCGATCTCCTTGCCCTTACAAACTCCTTGGTTCAACTCCACAATCTTGTCAGAGGCTCCCAAGTGACACCTAGCCAATCTAGGAGACACCACTCTCCAAGAAGTAACAAATGATGTGTTGATGATGAACTCCTTGCTCTTGTGCTTCAAATGATAGTCTTCCCAACACTCAACTCTCTCTCACAGGATTTGGATTTGGTGGAAAGAAGATTTGAGTGGAAAGCAACTTGGGAAGGCTAGAGATCAAGATTCATATGGTTGGAATGGAATATCTTGAGCTCAACACATTAGTAGGTGGTTCTCTCTAAGAATATGTGTATTGTAAGTGTAGGCATGTTCTGATGGCTCTCTCCACGAA